ATCGAGTTGTTATTTATGTGTCACGAGTCATAAATGAGGAGAGGTCGTACTCCTTGCTGTATTGTAGTGGGGGGCCCAAGGGATCATTACTACCTCCATGTTACTACTTGCAGTACTACCTGAATCTGATGGCTTCAATGTACCTTTCCTTCTTTTAATGTTCTTGCTTTGTTCTTTTCTCTCTCTTTTTTTTTTAATTTTTTATGTCGGTGACTGCATCCTTGAGGAATTTGTATTGTCCGATGGTATGGTATATTTTGGGCTAAATATCCATATTGGTATTTTAATTCCATCCCAATTTCCAACAAGGTATTTTAAATAGGCAAACCCGTTTTAAGACATTTTAATTGATTCAACTAATCAATAAGGCATGTTTTCTCATCGGCGGGTAAATTTCCGACGAGATCTCGTCACGTGCATGGCACGTGATGTCTCAAAACTTATTTTTGGCAGCGGGGAAGGCAACAATCTCGTCATATTCAGCCCAAAGTAGGATAAAATAACGGTTATGACGCCGCCTGAGATCGCTAACCCCATCGAATCGGCTGAATATGACGAGATTGTTGCTGTCGTCGCTGCTAAAAACGAGTTTTGAGACATCATGTGCCATGCACGTGACGAGATCTCACCGGAAATTTGCCCGCCGACGAGAAACCATGCCTTATTGGTTAGTTGGATCAATTAAAATGTCTTAAAACATGTTTGCCTATTTAAAATATCTTGTTGGAAATTGGGGTGGAATTAAAATACCAATATGAGTATTTAGCCGTATATTTTGGTTTTTCATTTTTTCCGAAGGGCAATCAATTTGTATTTTTTTTTTTATTTTTTCTCCTCTTTTTTAGAATGCGTTAGAGATTTTGTAGGTCTCTTTAGTCATACAGTCGGCATATTTTGGTTCCTTAATTTAAAAGTTCCTTCTCAGATTAGAATTAAGGGTTTTGCTACAGGGACCCAAAATATAGGGCCAACAGGAGAGACATGTGAGGTGTCCCCCTCCTATTGCATAACGAGCTGATCATCATTAATGATGACCAGCTCATTATTCAAAATGAGGGGGACACCTCACATGTCCCCCTGTTGGTCCCATATTTTTGGTACTTGAGGAATTTTTATAGAAATTAATGCCCGGAACAGTTCATGATAGAGATGTATAATATCTGTAGCTCTCAATCATTTGCTCCTAAATCAATAATAAGACCCAGTTCACATAGTCATGAAAATGTTGCGACTACCGTATGAAATATTTACTAGAGGAAGTAGGGCTACGAGGATTAAATGTTGGGGGTTCACTCGCGGAGAAAGTTGGTGGGAATACGTCCCTACACCCTTTTGACTGATTTAATGTTAACAGTTAATAAATAAGGTGGATTTAAGAATCATTTATTTGGCACATAAATTTAAAAAAAAAACATCATTAATTGAAAAGTTCATGCGCTATTCACGGGGACAGAGAGTACGTATTAAATCATGCGATCGCGTGATGCCTACACCCGTAAGGTAAATATAAAGCCACATCGCATGGCAACTAGATATTTTTAGTAGGGAGTCGAAGGCGATAGCTACGTCACTTTGAAGCTAGTAAATTTCTACATTTACTTTTCTACAATTTCAAGCTGTTTTTTTTTGGCTGCATTGAGTGGTAGTATCTGATAAGTAAATCAAGAGTTTTTAAATGCTAATAATACTTTTTTAGTTTTATTTATATCGGTTTTTCTATAGAGTGTCCATGTGCACTTTATAAGAGATGAGAGAGGCCCTCCCTGATTTGCATTAATTTCTGTGCATAATTTATTTCTCTCTATCTCTCTCCTCTCTTATAGAGTGCCCATGAACACTCTAGAAAAACCGTATTTATATTATTTGAGGACAATTTGCAAATACACGAACTTCAATAGGCTTGGAATTTGGAAGAATGGTCAGTTCCGTGACATTATTTATGACTGATTAAACAGAGTAATATTGAAATTGTCAAAAATATATGTAAAACAAAAAATGTTAAGCATTTCTTTGTGAGGTGTTCTGATTAAATTGTTATTCAGAAGAAAAAGTTAGCACATCATATATTAACCGCACAAAGAATTCTATGCGAGAATGCGAATTTGGTCGAAATTAACTGGAAGTAAGGGGGTGTTTGTCTACTTGCAACTGAGTTGAAAGTATGAAAGTGACTCTATTTTGAAAGTGCGAAAATGCATCCAAGTTAGCATACAAGTGACATACATTGTTTGTTTGCAAAAAACAAGTTATTGTTAAAAGTAGAAAAGTGAGGATGATGTGGCAATATTATTTTGTTTATTTATATATTAAAAAACCATGTTTTTCTTTAAATCACTCCCCTTCTCTATTTACCATTTTGAACCTTATTCAAAACTGAGATCATATAGTCATCACACTAATTTAATAAAATAAATAAAACCTAAGACATATATACCCAAAACTAAGCAATCATCATGGATAGTTCTAGTATAATCTCACTGGCAAAATTTCAGCAAAAAATAAATTCTTGGTATTATTAACATTATGATCAAATTATTTTTGTAATACTTGCAAGTGGAGATGAGAGAATCACAAAGAACACCCAAGCTACAAAATGTAAATAACCCAAGTATTTATTTTCAATGAAAACAAATATTAGTGACATATTTCAAACTACTGTTGCAACAAAAAATGATGAGAATAGTATTCAAAACGCGGGGAAAAACAGTGGGATTATTTCTATGGAGGTAAAAAATAAAAAGGGGAAAAATACAGCGGGAAAATAAAAGAGGCGTGAGAGAAAAAAAATAGAGGATAGGAGATACTGTTGAAGATGAAACAAATCTGATATATTAATTATTATAGTATTTTTAATATAATGTGGTCCCCACTTTTCACTTTCATGGCTCAGTACTTCTGCACTTTTTTAGGGGATGTTAAAATTGCAAAAAATCTAATGTGGACTATATTTTGGATCTCACTTTCATTATAACTTTCAATAAAACAAACAAGTGAAGTCTCAAGAATAAGTGACTTTCATATTTACAATTTTCACTTACAACTAAACAAACACCCCCTAAGTGTAGGCTAAAACTGGGGGATTTGGTGTTCGCATAATACTGATTATGCGAATAGTTTTATAAAAACAATTAATGTATTCCAAGTACTATTTGGCATAATTTCGTAAAGTTTGTGGATAGTAATTCATTGAAACTTGGGTTCATGAACCCACCTAATTTTTTTTTTAGAAATTTTTTTTTTATCAATTGTATCAGAAAGTTTAAAATTATTATTCATTACTATAGAGGATGAATGTATCATCTAACATCAATCCTTTCAAAAAGAAAACAATTAATGTATTCAATTTAAAACTTTTCTAATACTTCACATCTATAAACTATAAATGGTGATCACTAATGATAAAATTTCTCATTGAAAAGATTGAAATACAAGATTTAATCTATATTATAGGTCAAATTTTTTTTAATAGTAAAGCAAATGGCCAAGGAAGTTCCCACCAGGGCTTTTGCGCTCTTTGCTGTGGTTCTCATTTTTGCAGCTTATCACGGTATCTATCTATCTGTCTATCTATCTATTTGTCTGTCTGTCTTAAATAATTAAATTATTAGTACCGATTTTAAAATTTTAATCTTATATTTTGCAGTTGAGTTTGCAAGCTCGGAGGTGTGCATTAGTACATGCCCCGATTTCGACGCCTGCGAGCCTGCATGCAAAAGCGATGGCTTTATTACTGGTTTTTGTGAATATATTGAGAGCCAGCACAACTTCTTTTGTTGTTGTTTTAAATGATATATACTCTAGCAAATATTTCCTCATCTAGGGGAGAAAAAGATAGAGAATGTTGTATTCATGATTGATGTCAATAAAATTTTGGTTTCAATATATAAAATCAATATTGTTTTTTTAATTGTATTAATTTTCTGTCCTTCCAACTAGCTACAACACTTGTATATGCATTGATCTTGTGCATTAAGATTAGAGACATGCATGAAACCGAGCATTTAACATGCAGCAAAATTACCCTCCTAATAATCACTGATGTTGGCATAAACATGGCATTTCGCGAGAATAAAGGTCTCTGAGAATATTAGGAATGCCTATAATGATATGAAAATGCTCACAAATATATTTGAAATATAAGTTACTAATTTATTCAAGTACCAGCATCGTCAATGATAAGTTTGATTTGATCTGTAAAAAAAAACTTGCTATGGGGCCCAAAATGAAAATTTTATACTTCCTCGATAACTAAGTCGTAGGGTTGTATTTTTATCTTTGGACTGCTCTTTCTTCAAAAGTAGATAACTTGATCGTAACTCCAACCCTTAGAATTGTCAAGCCATTCATCTTCCTCAATAGAGACTATATCATTTCTAGCAGATTAAAAAAAAAAATCAAGAGAAAGGACTGAACCCTTACTTTTGTTATTCTTGGATAGTGAGCGTCAGTCCAATTGAGTATCAGATTGACGACGGTGAACTCCGACGGCAGCGACGAACTCCAATAAGGCGCACGGGGGATTTGGGGTACAATTTAAAAATTTTCACGTAGATGGATGAAGGTTACAATCTGACGACCTTCACAACAACTGATGAAAGCTCTAATCAACAGCCTTCATAATCAATATCGAGGGTTACAATCTAATGCCTCTCATATCTTCAAGGAGCCAAGACGAAGATTACAAGATGACGGTCTTTGCAACGCTCTAGAAAAAGAGACTACAAATTGACGGTCTCTTCAAATCCAGACGCAGAGCTCACCTGTGCGTCCCAGATTCAAAACGCGTAGCTCGTGGCTGTGTTCCCGGAACAAAACGCATAGGTCCTCCCTGCGTTGCCATACCAAAATGCGGAGGTCCTCCCCGTGTGTCAGCAACATAACGCAGAAGTCCTCCCTATGTTGCCACACCAAAACGCGGAGGTCCTCCTCGTGTGACGGTGACTATGATGGAGCTTCTA